ACGTTTCTCAATAGAGGCGGTATAAATTGACAGTATTTTGTAGTTTTGGTAACAAAATTCTTAGGAAAAGTTAACTTAACCAGTAATGCAGCATATAATTAAAGAAGTGAAGGTTTTTCGCCGTATAAGGAGATCTATAAAACATTTTTGTCTGAATATGTTTGTACACTTTGTAGTTTTGGATGTTCAATATCGGCAATAGTTTCATTATACATAAGAACATTCCAATCAGCTAGTGAAACAGCATCCCGATACTACATGCCAAAAAAGTTACAAATGAATGGAATCAAATCATTTTACTATAATATAGATCTCAATATATTATAAACGTCTAAATGTATGACAACTTTACGATAGACATTCTCCATCGGATAACTTGTTGTTATACAGAGCTTACGCCATACTATATATACTCGTCTCAAATTTAACCCAACAATTTTAGATCTGCAAATTTGCGTAAGCAAATATTTGTTTTTTTCCCTCTGCGGGATTCGAACCCCTGCATCTGAGACATAGTGGCAACACCGCCTACAGCGTCTAGACCACTCGACCAATTAGGCTATATTAAAATATTTCTTTCGTTAGTCGAGTAATGCATGTCCTCGTCGGCGTTATCTAAGGGTTGCAACATTATATATTGTATAGTGACAAGAAAATGGTATACCTTGCAGATCAGTTTTTTTTATCTCTCTTAAAGGACGAACATAAAATTCAAATATTAAATATTACAGTTTCTAACCATCGCAAAATTCATCCAAAGGCAAGGATTTTCTTGAGAATTACATATGGGTTTTGATTTTCTTTTTTGTATAAAAATAATCAGAAATATAGCTTTTGAGAGAACATTTATGAACGTTGTTTTTAATCTCTGTCTTACCAAATAGGTTCTGTTCATAGATCGAATAGCTGTGTGGGTCTTTTTTTAAGCTATCGTAAGGGTTTCAAGGATTTATTATACTTAAACCAAACGTGACTTAAATCTATTTTTGTAATTGATTTGGGTTTTTATTGCGTATGGCAACTTTTATGATTTTTCCAGACTTATACATGTAAAAAGTGTACAACTTCAGATGGACTTCGAGAAATGAAAAAGCTACCATTGATCTCATTGTACATGTGAGCTTTAGTACATTTTTATTTTTTTTTCTCTATAATAGTTGTGTCATGACAATATACATGTCAACATAAAGGAATGGGGAACAGATTACAAATTCAAATACTATAAACATCAAAGATATAATTATCATCGAAATCCTAAAAGTAATACATGATTTCAAGCAATAAGTGTTGTTTTGTTAATTTGGTTGCTGAGTTAGTATAATATATGTATATGTATCTAAGTTAAATGGTCAATAAATAAGAAAACTTGACTATACAATTTTCCAGTAGTTAAATAGCTAAACATCTTTAAAAAAAATGAAGATTTAATCAATCGGGTCAATCAAACAAAGGCATTTAATTTTAATTTCAAATTACCCCTGAACCCATTTTTAAAGAAAAAAAGGTACATTGCATGTTGATGAAAATCTTGGAAAGCGATATTAATCAACTAAAAAGTCAACAACTTTAGTTAAGGGACTTTTCTAAATATATGACTTTTTTTAAGATTGATTCGATTGATCCCTGTACAAAATGGAGGTTTCAGAAAATTATTCTGTTTCCAAATGTTGCTGATCTCACAAATGCACCCTTGAATATTTTCGATTAAAACATAACATTAATAGTTTAGCATGGTATATTTATGTCCCATTGGGGATATTCCATCTTACACAGATTATCATAACCAAATTGGAGTATAGGTACCTGTTAAAGTATAATTGAACAATATCTGGTCATGTTCAATGTATTTGTGTAACAGTATGTGTGGTCTGAAATATGTGTTTTGATTTGTAACAAAATCAGTTACACAATGTATATGTAATATTTCAGTGCCAGTTAAGCCTAATACAAGTAATGATTTCAATGATCACCCTTCTCGATAATTTTTAGAAATGAATTATAAGAAATTATTTAAATGAAATTTTTCACTTAAGATCATTTAAATCGCATACTCTACTTAAGGAGCTAGGATGTAAGTGTTTCCTTCTGATGATACACTTGGTATAAATGAGAATACTTCCTGTTCATGCAACCTATTTCATTGTAAAAAATTACTAGACCTAACCGAAAATATCAGAACGATGGTTATTATTATTTTTTTTTTTAAATAAGTGAAAAATGTGATTTCCAATAAAAAATGTATCTTTTGATAACTATATTATTGCATTAAACCAGGAAGTGTATTATTCTTTTCCTTCAAATAAGTGTGAAATCGTCCAGTCAATACACAATCTGTCCTTACACTGACCACCGATATTTTCTTGTAAGAAAGGTTTTGTGTTTTGATTTGCGGCAAACTAATTTATATGTTACGTTTCAGTTCCGTTATTGCGAGTTACGCCCGATACAAGTATTAATTTCAATGAGTATCTTATTTGTCGACTTGAAATGAATTAATATGAAGTCATTGAAATGAAATTTTACACCCAAGGTAATTTAAATTGCATACTCTACTAAAGGAGCTCACGTCTTAGTGTTTCCTGTTGATGATGTGTTTGACTGGTTCTTTGTATAAGAGAGAATACTTACTGGTTATACAACCCACTTTCAGTACTATATGAAAGGTTTTACTAGGCCTAATCGTAAATATCCGGTTACTGGTTATTTTCATCTAAAAAGGAGAAAAACGTAACCCCATTGACCAATTACAAATGTGTCTTGTGATAACTATCGTAGTGCATTAATCCAGGAAGTTTATAAATTCTTATCCTTCAAAGAAGTTTGAAATTTAAACTTGTCAAAGATACCAGGCTTATGATTTTGTACGCAAGACGCAAGTTTTGTCTACAAAAGACTCATCAGTGACGCTCCAATCAAATTTGAATATTATCGTTAGTTCATAGTTGAAGCAGGGTACCGGGGGACTATATTTGTATTATACGAATATCGTATAAGGTTTTTGTACAACCATGCTTGTATAGTAAAATGGCCGATTGCTCGATAAAACATTTTCACATGCTGGTTGAAAATGCGGACTTTTAGCTTGTACACTGTTTTTTGGCAAATACTAGTTGACCTAAAACCGCTATATGGATCGTGACCTTAACACAATTAGATCTTACACTTAGGGTTGCATGGGATATAGAAATACGGTCCTCCATGAACTTTACCTGGCTGGTAATGAAGCCCATACTAAAGATAGGATTCGTTTGACGGTGTGGGATGTATAAATACGTAGCATGGTCTAGTCGGAGAGAGGCCTACTATGGTGACAACAACAACACTCTCACGGGTCCGTATGTAGACTGATATAAGGCAAATGAAGGAAGCATGATAAGAGGTCTGAAAATTAGTAATGAGCCAAGATCTCACGCCAAAAAATATGTTATCTACTGAAGCATCTTTGTACAAGACATAGTTTAGCAAAACATCTTTCTTGGTAAAGCCTTGGCTCAAAATCAAATGTCAATACCCCGGTCTGGAAATGATGTTTCCATTGTCATCTGTAGATTATGATTCTTTTTTATTATCGAATTCAAAGGGCAAAAAATTCGCATTACCAGACCTTCTTCTTTCTGTCCCTATCTTTAATACTGCATATTCCAGTAGCAATCTTAATTTACCGCCTATCATCCTGGTCGACCTACTTTTTAGAACCTTCCCATTGTATCAACTGAAAAATGTTCCTTATTATAATGCATGGGAAAACACTGAAGATTTTTATTTAAACACAGCTTGTAAAGATCCAATTTTACAATTCATATTAGCTTTCATAAGTTTCATTGTTCACTTATTAGATATGCAGAAAACATGCTCCAGTGATTTCCGTACATTTGTTCGCCGGCTTTGTTATCGTCATGTTTAGCATAGATTCTGTCTCCTTTCTTCAAAGCCATTACAGTGTTTAATGTTCCCGTAGAATAATTAGTTCCAAATATTCCCACATCTGATTGGTTGTTTTTCCAGAGATGACAGTGTAGATACTGTCCTCGATTGGCCATAACAGTACTTGAAACGAAGTACAGGCCGTTTCTTGAAACAGTAAAAACGCCTGTAGTAGGATCATAAACATTGCCCATATTCAGCCAGACTTTGTCAAATTTTAGTACTTCATTTGATTGGAGAGTTATAGATGACGTCAACGATGCTGAAAATGCGGGTCTTTCTTGCTTTCGTCCAGGTTCTATGAAATTATTAAAAAAAAAAGAATCATTTTTGTAAAAAAAGTCTCGAATGGCACATTATGTTCTGTATATTTATGTTTATTTAACTGTCTATCGATTTCTTGAGAGAAAAAAAAACAAACGTAACGACGTTGTCTCTCCATAAAACCCTGTCTTTTATACATCTGATATCATAGTGCTCCAATACTTTATAGATAGAATTTTTTCGCAAAGTTTATTCATACATCATATTATTGAACTAGTACTAGGATATCAACTCGAATATGTAAGGTTGAGCTTATATACAGTTTAATTGCCAATTTTGCTGAAGTGTTTGAACTTTATTCGTGCCTAAATGACATTCTGAAATATTTAAAAAAGAGATGATGTTTGCTTTGACCTGAACATCAACAGACGGTTGTGAAATTAGATTAAAAAAAATGCAGAGACTGTTGATTCCAACGACTCAGAATTTCATTCAAGACAAAAATGTATTCATAACATATAAAAATTTTGGTGAATTTTACTTTTATTGTGCCCTAAAGCAAATCAAATAACTGTTTCGTTCACTTTGATATGGTCTTTCAAATTACAAACCATATGTATTGGAACTCACCCGCCGATTTCAAGCAACTTTCGAAATAACGCTTCTCTGTAAGAATATAGTTTAAATCCTTCGATTCAATCTTTAAAAATAGTTTGGTCTTCACAGATGGGTAAATGTTTGATTTTATTTTGTGGATGATGATTTGCATTGGTATAAAAAAATGTCTACTGACAATGTATCGTTTTACTTACCATATCCGATATCTTCGATGACAGTTTTTTTTATAATTGGAATTTTCTGGTCAGTAGTCTCCTCAACTGTCTTTATGATATAGTCCTTCAATACTTGGTTTAATTGAGTCGTATCAAACAAAACTACTAAAGGCATACGCTGATTATCCAGAAGGGGTACTTCTATTGTGGAGTTTTGTCTAGTCTCCTGTGACGTAATTGACTGAACGCAACTCATAAGCATGAAGATAAAAATGAAATGTAACTTTCTTTGCTCCATTTGAACTTTATATTAATGTTTATTGAAGACAGTCTCGCTAATGTGCTTCATTTGAGACAAACTTCTTTTAATTTGTAAAGTTTGTGATGATCATATACAGTTACAGGAAGGACAAAGGTTAAGTATCACAATGTGGTGAGGTCAAAAACAAATTTTGAATGTTGCTCTTTGTTTTCTTATTTTCTTCGCTAAAAAGTACCCTAAAACACCAAGCCACACAAGTCACACAGACCAGAAAACATAATGCACATCAGCTTTTGTACGCGGGCCATAATAAGCCAATATATGCAAGAACAACTAAAAGAGAATAAATACAATTTTTAATATTTTATTAATTGTCATGCTAAATGAAATTGATATTGAGTTTGTTAGTTTTTTTCTGTACATAATCGTTATAGGAGAGCCATTCCAAACTAAAAGACAATTTAAAAGAGTTGGTCCTGCATTGTTTCATAACAAAGAATGGCCTACGTAGATACAAGTTTCTTGTCTTAGGGAGGGATAAATCGTACTTTGTAAAAAATCACTCTGATTCAAACAAAAAAATTCTCTGAAACTGGCATTATCAAGATGCTTGATATCTTGATTGACAACATATTTGTAACGTTTGGAGGACGTTTTTTTCAATCGGCATTCCTATGAGAACTAACTGTGCTTCTGTTCTTGTCGACTTGTTCCTTTATTCATATGAGGCCGACTTCATACAGGAACTTCTTAGGAAGAAAGAAAAGAAATTAACAGTATCCTTTAACTTCACATTCCGCTATAAAGATGATGTTCTCTCACTAAATAATTCAAAATTTGGTGACTATGTTGAACGCATTTATCCCATCGAACGTAAGATAAAAAATACGACAGATACAGTTAAGTCTGTCTCATTTCTTGACTTACATCTAGAAATTGACTATGAGGGTCGGTTGAAAACAAAATTTTACGACAAAAGAGATGAATTCAGCTTCCCAATTGTGAACTGTCCATTTTTATCTAGCAACATTGCAGCAGCGCATGCATACGGAGTATATATCATCCAGTTGATACGATATTACATGGCTTGTATTTTCTATCATGATTTCCTTGATAGAGAGTTGCTGCTCACAGGGAAGCTATCAAACGAAGAGTTCCAAGTGGTGAAGTTGAAATCCCTTCGTAATTGTTACGGACGCCATCACGAGATGGTTGACCATTATGGAATATCCGATTCACGGATGACAACGGATATGTTCCAATTGTAGTAACTACAATCCCACCCCCTTTTCCCCGAATGTGACCTACTGAAGTAGACTTATCGCCGGGTATGTACTAATATGAGCAACACGACGGGTGCTACATGTGGAGCAGGATCTGCTTACTCTTCCGGAGCACCTGAGATCACCCACAGTTTTTTGGTGGGGTTCGTGTTGCTCAGTCTTTCGTTTTCTATGTTGTGTTTTGTGAAGTGTTGTTTGTCTGTTTGTCTTTTTCTTTTTTAGCCATGGCGTTGTCCTTTTATTTTCGACTTTTGAGTTTGAATGTCCCTTTTTTATCCTTAGCCTCTCTTTTCATAGAAGGTGTTCTGTATATCGTATCTGTTATACCAAATATAACATACATGTACAAACATTTTTTTTCGACGTCTTTGTCAATTTTTATTAACTACCAAAACATTTTTGTTTACGTCTTTTCGAAATTTATAATCAATTGCAGCAGCTTTTTTTGTTGGCGTCTTTGTTAGATTTATTTGTATGTTTGTTTGCAGTTTTTAGTCAGTTGTGTTGTATGTGTGATGTATGTTTACACAGTTTTGGTTGTTGGATCCCAATTATTTTCACATTAACCGTTTATGTCTGTATGGGTTTTTCACCCAATTATGTCAATATAATGGAACTATAAACAACTGTCATACAAGTGGGAGGTTTAGCTAGCTATAATTTCGGGAAATGCCTGTACCAAGTCAGTTGTTTTCCATTCAATCCGTTTAAAGTCTAAGGTTTGATTTTTAAAGTTTTTATGGACTTCCCTCCTTTTTTAATTTACCTTGAAGGTTGGTATTTTTGTTATACTTTTTTTCATTCAGTTCACGATTCTGCTCTATACTTCGTAAATACGAATTGTAGGATTGAGACATTATTATAGTTAGAGAATATGTTTTAGGATGCAAATCCGATGGGGTCTCTTATATGTATCTTATAGCAATGATTTGTTTAAAATGCATTTTATTTACATAGAGCGAAACAAAAACAAAATAATCGAGCACTAATAGTAGGTCACAAAAACATTTAATTCGTAATTTCAATTACTAAAATCAATTCCACAATATATTCACCACTCACTGGTCATCATTCAACTAAACCCGATCATAGAGAACCGTATATTATGTTCAACAAAAACAGCACCACAAAGAATACACATGTACATGGCCAATTCAATGATATAAGCAAATATCAATGTTAATTTATAAGATATCCAGAAAACATAGACCAATGACCTCCATATATAGACTCGTTATTATATACATCATGTTTTATATAGATTTTGTCTCTTATTCTCAAAGCCATCACAGTATTCAGTGTTCCGGAGGAATAATCTGTTCCGAATGATCCAACATTTGACTCATTGTTCCTCCAGAGATGACAGTGTAGAAATTTTCCTTTTGTTGACATTACAGTATTTGATATAAAGTATATTCCATCTTTCGGAACTGTAAACACACCAGTTCTAGGCTCGTATCCGTTCCCAATATTTAACCAGACTTTATCAAATGTTAGAACTTCGTTCAATCCCAGTGTTTTAGATGACGTCCTGGATGCTGAAAAGGCAGGTCTTTCGTCTGCCCTTACGAGGTCTGGAATAATAGAATTTAGAATATATGAGTATGTAATGATTATAGAATCTAAGTTATTGTTTACTCACGGATTGGGATTGATAATTTGCAAAAGTTGCAATATTTCTATTTTATTTTGACAGATGTTTAATTATCTGCTGCCGATCGTTAATTATAATTTGAACAAGTTATGAATAGAAATAAAAAATTATTCAATATTAAACTGATGAAATGGGTCAAGGTCTCAAATGGCCGGGTTGCAATATGTGTGACTAATCAATGTAGAATGTTTACAATGTAGTTGAAATTACATGAAAGGGAAGATAGTTTTTTACTTTCTGTGAAGTCTTAGGGATCTTGGTTGAAACTGTAGAAGTTAAAAAAAGGTGTACCTTCTTTCGTAAATTTTGCTGAAAAATGACTAAGTTCCAAAATTAGAAAAAATTAGAAAAAATCCCCAAACAATGCACTATTTTCTTATTCCCGACTTTTGACTCCGGAGTATATTATTTTTTGACAGGTTACATACTCTGTGGTAGGACATGTTGGTACTCGGTCAAGTAATAGCAACTAAAGGAAATGAAATAAGCTTTGAATCGCTGCAATTTATCAATCAGGATCTGCTCACCCTTCCATGGCACTTGGAATCATTCCCGGTTTTCGGTGTGGTTCGTGTTGTTCAGTCTTTAGTTTTCTATGTATTGGTTTATAGACAGTTGTTTGTCATTCGTCGTTTTTCATTTTTGCCATGATTTTGTATGATTCTCTTCTACTGATGAATTATGATTGTCCTTCTGGTATCTTCCGCCTCTTGTTTAAATAGCATATGTAGCCATTACTACATTGTCAGACATTATAAAGAGTTTTATTTTAGTAGGCATATTTAGAGTTGCTGTTTCCTTCGTATCTTTTTTTTTATAATTATGTAACTTTAATATATGTAGTTTTGATAGAATTTTTTAATATAAAAGCAATGTGAATTCATTCTGGAATAAAAAAAATGTTCACCAATATTCCCCAAAATTCATTATTTGTATTTCGTATTCATTTTAAGTGAATAGCCATAACATACCCGAGTAATGTATAAATACCTACCTTCTTGAGTATGAGAACAAAGAATGCATACAATTGTTATAAGGAATATAAAAAACAATTAAAAAGTAAAGAAAAAAACCTGAAAAGGAGAAATGAGAATGGATAAATATTGAAAATGTTTAAAGAAGGATTACACATGACCTATTTTTCCAGTGGTGTTTCAACATTTTTAAGCACTACTGCGTAGATAAAACCGAGACGTATTAGATAACTTTTCGATATTTTTTAATCTCTGTTAATTAAGATTTTCAAATACATTTATCCAAAGTCCCCCCACTATCTAATGTACCAAAGGACATTGAAGCTATAAGAATCAATATATTTTTCTACAAGATAAGTTTCATACCATTAAGAGAAATGTATAAGCGTTTTATTCTAAGTTACATACTTACCGTTGTTGATATCTTTCAAAAGATCATTTTTCATATTGCAAATTTTGTCTTTCGTTGTCTTTTCCACCGTGTCATTGATATACGTCGTTAAAACTTTGTTGAGATTTGTAGTGTCAAACAAAGCTACCAACGGCACATGCTGAATATCCAAGAGAGGTATTTGCACGGTGGAGTTGTCTACATCATTACTCGCTGAGTATCCCAGAAACCATATCAACAATATGCTTAAAAACTCAAAATATGAAAACGTCAGATACTTTGCCATTGTCACAGGTCCTGCCGAATCACCTTTTGTCTACAGATAACTCTTTGTTATAATGACAGCCAATAGTTACACGAAAAGTGGAGAGGATACAGTGGGGACTTTCTATAGTTTTAAGGGGAAGTTTTTATTAAGTTTTTTGGTATTATTTTACATTTTTCAATGACCAACAACAATCACGATGATTTCATTTATCTTTGCTTTTTTATTTGACGTGTGTTATTATTTCCAGACATAAAAGTGTGGAAATCATCCTCTTGGAGCTAATGATGTTTAACTGAAACTTTTCCAGAAAGCAGCTGAATGTTATGAACGTAACGTAAATACTGCAAACTAAATTACCAAAAAATAAACAATAAGAAAAGTAATAATGATGATGATGATGATGATGATGATGGCACAAATAATAAAAAATAATATACGTACAGCGTTTGAATGATCAAAAGACAAACTAAGTCAGTCTTCAAATAATCGTAAATCGTAGATAAATGATAAATTTTCTGAAAAACGTATTTTTTTATTTGTCGTTAGGCCTAATCAACTGTATTTGATGCACTAAAAGGTCTTTGCTTTGATTTTTACTGACAAAACAAAAGGTACATTAAAAAAAAACTGTTGACACAGAGAGATATGTCTCGCTTTTTTTGTAATTTTGATTGTATAATGCAAATGTTGAAAATGAAATGGGAATATTTAAACAGGTAAACTTAGTAAATAATTTAAAATCATTGAACCATGACTGAAGATGCAGGGCCAAATAAACTCCATGGAAATTGGAAGTCTATTGAAAGTATAATAGCGAAACAGAACTATATAAAATTATGCAAATGTTTCGTGTCAATGGACCATGATGAGGGGACGGGGCCATATAATCTCCGTGGAAATGAGACTTGCAAATGCTTATACAACTGTATACCAAATATCATTGACTTCACATTAGTCTTTCATCCTAGACTGATCTAATTACAAACTTTATCATGTAAACTATGCAAAACATTCAAAGTAAAAATACCATGACTGTGGGGTAGGGACAAATAATCGCCATGGAAATGAGATATGCCAAAGCTAATACATCTGCATACCAAATATTACTGATCTACAACTAACATTTGAAAGCCAGAGATGCGTAAATACGCTGAAATATTAGGAGCTATTTGATTAAAAAGAACCTAAGCATAATAGCCAAATTCATCAAAGGTCAACATTGATTGAGGGAGTTTCTTAATAATTTCTTAATTTGTGAGCGTGGAATTTAAATAAGAATAAGTTATAAATCATGTTAGTACCGAGGCACAGACTATTGAGCTGATGGTACCATCGGGGTCCGGGACTAATAGATCACCAGAAACGGTATCGATCCTGTGCTAGTTAATGAAATAAACACTTTATAAAATTATATTATTTGTTAGCCAGGAATGCGTAAATACTCCAAAACGTTAAGAGCTAAATGATTAAAAAGGACCTCAACGTAATAGCCCAAAACATCAAAGGTCAACTTTGCCTGAGGGATTTGGAACCATAGTTTTTTTAATCATGTCAGTGTCGAAGCACTCATTACTGAACTGACGATACCCCCACGGACTAGCAGCAGTATCGCGCCTTAGCAAATGAATTAATAAATTTCGTGCATCCGAAGAGCTGTCATGGTTTACCTTCATCAGGAACGCTCAAACCTAAATATGTGGAAGCCTGTGATGCTAAAACGCTGAAACGTTAGGACTTATAGGATAAAACGCTGAAACGTTAGGAGTTATAGGATAAAACGCTGAAACGTTAGGAGTTATAGGATAAATAAAAGATCAGAAACAGAAAAACCAAATTCATCTACAGTCACCTTTGTTTGATGAGGTTGGATCCTTAATTTGTTAATAATTTCTTAATTTACGAACGGCGAATTTAAAAGTATATGTTATAACTCATGTCTGTACCAATACATTGAATACCGAGCTGATGATATCCTCGGGGAATAACAGCGGTACCGACCCAGTGCTAGTAAACGATATAAATATTCTATATACCGTATTTTTTTGCGTCCGAAGGGCTTTTCTGGATTAACCTCCATCAGGAATATAGAGTTATCAAATACGGTAGAAAAATAAAGATGTATCAAATATTTATGGCATCAAAAATAACTTCAATAGTCGTACCATATTTTTGTTAGTAGTCCAGTTCTGTAGAACTACAAAGCAAATTAGTTTGTGCAATACACATTTTTGTAAATTAATAAAAATGAGGAGATGTGGTATGATTGCCAATGAGACAACTTTCCAACACAGTCAAAATGAAGTGGAGTTCAGCAATTATAGATCACCGTGCGGTCTTCAACAATTAACAAACCCCAAACCATACAGTCAGGTATAAAAGGCCCGGACATTACAAAATTTGAAATAATTCAAACTAAAAAACCCTGATTTATGACAAAACAATAAACGAAAAACAGATATAACAGACAGCAACCAACGACATTCACTCAATTACAGACTTAAGACAAGCAATATGTGGAGGGGTTAAACATGTTTGTGAGCGCTTAACCCTCCTCTAACCTGGAACAATGGTGTAACAGTAAACTGTAAAAAAAATCAGTTCGAAATGGCTTGACTCACCAGATCGGCACGAAGCATAACAACTAACATGAAGATAAAAGACACACAGTGCCGATATTAGAGTACTCGCAGTTACTTAAAGCTAGTTCAAATCCAATAATAACTAATACTAAGTAGATAAATCACGTTCTCCAGGACTAAAGTTTACACATCCAACAGAATCAGTGTAAAGACGTCATAAACCGTCTGAGGAAAGCATGATTTTATGCAAAATTATCAGTACATTATATCGACAGGATAAAGAAACAGAGGTTTCCATTAATAAAAGATTATACAAATATTTAGTAATGTTTTAATTCATCGAAAATAAAATTAATGTAAGTGCCGATAAAAACCATATTCAAAGATTTTACCACGGTGTTACAATGTACAAAGGTATCCTTTACGAATAAGTTTATTCAAATAATCGATAAGTTTGTATGGGTCGTTTTTAAAATTGCGTGCTTTATAAACAAAATTATCGTAAAAATTAGGCTGTAATATCCCTTTTTATAAGAACTACACCTGAAACGCATACAATAGTGCTTTAATTGTATTTCAATGCGTAAATAATATTACGTTTATTTACAACTATGTAGTTTTTATAACATTATTCACCGATGAAGTATCCCGAAAACACAGACCAATGGCCTCCATAAACTCCTTCACCTCTGGTAGGCACAATTCTTACGTGATCACCCTTCTGTAAAGCTAATACACAGTTAACAGTCCCAGTGTACAAATTCTCCCCTCCGAAGATGTTAAAATGAGTTACGTTGTTCTTCTTCAAAGCGGAATATACATCCCCGTGCTTCCCACTAGACATTACAGTGGCAGAAAAGTGATATCGTCCACCTCTCGTAGCAGTGAAGACACCTGTATTTTTATCATATGCGTTTCCGGTGTTTAATCATACTTTGTCAAATATAATGGTGTCAGCTGGCACTCTTGAATTTGTCAGGGAGGCAGTGAACGATGCACTTTCTCGTAGATCTGTAAAATAAATTTTATAATATTGTACGTCAGACAATTTATACTATGGAATTGTAAATTTGCGTCAGTTTGCATACATAAGAAACCTAAACGTCATGATGCATGGAGGTTCTTAGATCTAAGCAGAAGTATTTTAATTGCCACGTTTAAAAGAAAAGGAGAATATGTGTTTACAGGAGACCATGCCCTCCTCGCAATATCATATTTCTATGTTCAGGAAACCGTAAAATTCGGTCAAAATAATAATTTAACATATATTTATCATAATGAACATGTTGATGTGGTTCATAAGTGTTTCTCGTTTCTCGTTTTTTTTTACATATATTAGACCGTTGGTTTTCCTGTTTGAATGGTTTTACACTAGTCATTTTTGGGGTCCTTTATAGCTTGCTGTTCGGTGTGAGCCAAGGCTCCGTGTTGAAGGTCGTACTTTGACCTATAATGGTTTACTTTTACAAATTGTGATTTGGATGGAGAGTTGTCTCATTGGCACTCATACCGCATCTTCTTATATATATGTGTAGTTTCAGATCGATGTATCCCCAATACCACGGACCAATTGTTTACCTTACCTTAAACAAAACTGTAACCTCATACGGGGCGGCGGATAGGATAAAAAAAAAACAGTTTCAATGAGTTGTAGAAAACAATTTAATTGCATACTTTATTTAATGTTAACATTTTAATTTAATGTTCTATGAACAAGCCAAAAGTTGAAACCAAAGAAAGAAAAATAAATGGTAAATTAAGGGTGTTCGCTACTCTCTTTCAAAACAACAAGCTTTTTAAAAAGACTGTTATAAATAGATATTAAACAGAACTTAAAAAAGCAGGAAAAATTATAGGTCCGTGTCTTTGTTTTTGAGATATAACCCATTGAAAATTTGACGAGAAATGAATCTCTCTAGATTTTTCTTACATTTAACATTGGTATCTTTTGTCTTTCAAAAACTATGAAAAAATAACAACAGTTTTATGAGATTTTGAAAAATAGCTTTTTAAACTATATGTAATAAAATTATGAATAGAAAAGTAGGTGTAAGCGTGCAAACTTTTGATGGCACTACATGGATAAAACCAGAGGAATCCAAATATCTGACAAAAAGACCAAAACAAGAGCAGCGAACATCCTTTAGCTGAGAAAAATTTGTTGAATATTTAAAACAGATCATTCTTCCCAACTTATCGCGATAATTAAAAACAAACAAACAAACAAACAGAATAAACAAAAAAATAATTGTTTGCAATATTTATCGGTACAGAGGACCACTTGGCTGTAATAAAAAAAAGATAGTCAAGCTTTATTTCATATCAATGTAAATTCTTAGAAAACCCAAGTTTAGCTATGTAGGTAGACACCAAAGACCAATCGGATCCAAATAGACAATTTTAATATTACACACCGGTGAAAAACAAAGAATTGTAATACATGACTCTGTCAGATGAATTTGCACTCTTCTGTATATTGAAGAAAAAAATATGTTTTAAACTTCTGTGACTGTCCGATGCACAGGACAAAAACGTCTCTCCATATATGACGTGACGGAGAATCTTATAGACCTAATGAAATCGACCGCGAAATATTTAATCGATTGTTAATAATAATAAAAAAAAAGGTAAAGGCCTCTTAAACCTAAAAAATATATATAAAAAAATAGCAAATATTATAATCTGATTAAAAGTTCGAGATACAGATAAAAATGAAAATAAATTATACTTACCACTACGAATATTTTCTGTGACAGCATCTATAACTTGTGGAACAGTCTGCTTAATGCGTTTGTCGACTTCCTGTTGGGTGTCATTTTTCACTTTCTCGTCTGTGACTCGATAAACTGTATTGCTGATATAACTTTTAAGCTCCGTGTCTATTTTTGAAAAATCAAGAGTAGCAACGAGTGGCAGATTTTGTTCACCAATAAGTGGCGCGTCAAATAAAAAATTTCCATTTGGCTGGTTTTGTCCTACTGCAGAAGATATCAAAATAAAGAAAATAAACATTTCCATGACAAAGTTTGACAGGGACATTATGTGAATTCCAATTTTTCAAAACATTAATGATTCTCACTTTGAATATTATCATTTAATAATGCAATGTGCTTATACTGGGGAAACTATTTAAGTGCCAACGATTAAAGTACTATGTGTGTTTAACAATTTTCATAAGCATATGAGTTATATGAGCTAGTGCCACTCAACGTTTAGCTAAACATATGTATATAATTTCAATGTGTCGAGTCGAACACTTTTTAGAAAGCCTTTAACGATTTACGAGATATTTGCCTTTCCAATAAATAAATGGAAAATTAAACAGAAACAAGACATTTTATTTTACAATGTCAAGCACTAGATTCCCTCCCCCCTTAGGTATATCGGTTACGCTTACCATGAAGTACAGCGGACGCCTGTACTATTTATTATTCGTTAGAATGAAAATTTGAAGAAAAAAACTTAAATTTTCATTTATGATTCATTTATATTAAATATCTATATAAGTTATTGTACCAATTCTTGTCTTGTTAATAAATAATATTGCTCATGCTTGCGAGGAATAACATGTAACTATTTCGTTACGTTCTGCAGGATACCTAAACTACATAAGTGTCCTTACAAACAACGTTATATTGCTGGGTCTTCCAATGAAACCTCTTTCTAAATTATTAACATCAATTTTATCAGCAACCAAAGCAGGGCTTCAAAGTTATTGTGAAACTACCTATTCTAGAGGTGGCGTGAATCAGATGTGGATACTAAAAAATCCAAAGATGTTTTAGAGGGAACACATAATCTAAGACTTTCCTCTTGCAATGGCATTAAAACATTTGACTTTTCTACATTTTACACAAGTATTCCCCATTCGAAACTAAAAGACAAATTGAAGGAGTTGGTCCTACTTTGTTTCATAAAAAAGAATGGCCAACGTAGATACAAGTATCTTGTTTTAGGAAAGGATAAATCGTACTTTGTAAAAAATCTCTCTGATTCAAACAAAAATTCTCTGAAATTGACACTATCAAGATGCTTGATTTCTTGATTGACAACATGTTTGTTACGTTTGGAGGACGCGTTTTTAAACAAACAATCGGCATTCCCATGGGAACCAACTATGCTCCTCTTCTTGCCGACTTGTTCCTTTATTCATATGAGGCTGACTTCATACAGGAATTTCTTATGAAGAAAGAAAAGATGTTAGCAGTATCCTTTAACTTCACTTTCCGCTATATTAATGATGTTATCTCACTAAATAGTTCAAAATTTTATGGCTATGTTGAACGCATCTATCCCATCGAACTTGAGATAAAGGATACCACATATACAGTTAAGTCTGCCTCACATCTTGACTTACATCTAGGAATTGAGGGTCGGTTGAAAACAAAACTTTACGAAAAAAGAGATGATTTCAGCTTCCCAATTCTGAACTTTCTATTTCTATGTAGCAACATTCCAGCAGCGCCTGCATACAGATTATATATCTCCCAATTTATACGATATCCCAGGGCTTGTATTTCCTATCATGATTTCTTTGATAGAGGGTTGCTGCTCACAAGGAAGCCATCAAACCAAGAGTTCCAAGTGGTGAAGTTGAAATCATCCCTTCGTAAATTTAACGGACGCCATCACGAGTTGGTTGACTGTTATGGGATATCTGTTTCACAGATGACGACGGATATGTTCCAATTGTCGTAACTACAATCCCGTCCCCTTTTCCCCGAATGTGACCTACCGAATAATACTTATCACCGGGTCGGTACTTACATTAGCGACACGATGGGTGCCACATATGGAGCAGGATCTGCTAACCCTTCCGGAGCACCTGAGATCACCCCAGTTTTTGGTTGGGTTCGTGTTGCCCATTCTCTATTTTTCTATGTTGTGTTTTGTGTACTGTTGTTTAAGTTTGTTTTTTTTTTTAGCCAAGTCAGTTTATTTTCGACTTATTAGTTTGAATGTCCCTTTGGTATCTTTTGCCTCTCTTCTTGTTGCTACGAAATAATATTTGATACCACTGCTTGTATTGTCCCTATTGATGTCTTCGAACTTTCAAGTATTGAAAAGAAGTAAATTTTCGAAATGTGGATATGGAAAAATTAAATCAGGTATCCTGTATTTCATCGTATTATATCAAATGCAATACCATAATCCATATAGGCATTTATTTCACGTTTAACATATACATATTTTCTACATTCTCTTTCCATTCCAGTTCAACAATACGATGGCTATAGCCGATGTAATGGATGATGTGGATTACAAAACTATCAATTTTAACATAGAGGAAGCAGAATTTAGACACCCGCTATGGTTGACAGAATCTCACTTTGTGTATAACCTCTACAGAGACGAAGAAGGTCATCTGAACTGTCATAGAAATGCTGCAGGCGATCCTATTCTGTCACCTAGGTACGTATAGTTTAATAGCTAACCATCCAGTTTTAATCTATGGTTGGTCGTGTTGAAGAGGTACACGTGGTCGAATACTTATATATTGAGCATTTATTCAGCTGCTGATGTTGCTTTTTAGCATATCAGATATAGATTTAATATCGAACCCTATATCTCATACCATATCGTATTGCATGCGTGTCCTCTATCACATTCCATTTACTGTGTAAACCTTTAGAATTATTATTTTTAAATATATATGAGGAGGAAACAAGGGGGTCTTATTTCCCAAATCCCGCATTTTGTTTGTATTTTTTCCAGCTTACACTTTTCCCAGATCCACCCACCTATATATCACAAACACCAAAGAGTGTCATTTCCTCTTATATCATAGTAATAAAGGCAATTTTGAATGATTTTATTGATTTGTAAACTCAACCGACTCACTACTGAAGTGAATTAAGTACGACGGACGATTTTAAGTTTAATATAAAATTCATATTACATATAAGTGAACCATTACGGAAATACAAGATGTACAACACATTTATGAAACAAATGAACACAAAAAGATTAGTCGGGTTGTAATTGCAATATAGCAAAATATTGCCACTACTTATATATGAAAGTATTTTAAACTTTTTTTTATATTTCCAGACCTTTGGCCAAAATGTGCATGAATGAGCTAGTCTGTGAAGGGAACCAAATATCAGCATTTGAAACAGATGCTATTCCTGCTGATCTATATCCAAATTTGCTAGCAGAGGCCATTTTTCAACGACAATTGCAAACTATTGATTTTTTAGTATCAACATGGCCACACTCAATCCTTGACCTTCAAAGTGTTATGCCAAAAGAAGACTTAGTGGAAGCTCAGCTGCTGACGATACCAATAGAGGGACATGATGGGATAACTTTTTTGGACTGTATAATGTGCGGACTTCTAAGACAAAAGTATTCTTCGAGATTGAGAACAGTCAACCTATCAGGATTCAAACAAGGCATAGCATTTTTATATATATTTCTAAGTCATATTCTTCTTTCGCTGCTGTTTCTGTTTTTTTTTCTCCTGTCCTTCTATTTTCTCCCTTTCTCCCGTGACCTCCATCCATTCAATTTCTAAATCCAAACGCCATTCTGGGTGCTATTATCATACGTACACCAAAAGGTTGTGAACAACGTCCTAAACGATGGAAATAAGCTCATCATAGATACCAGGATTCAAATTTTGTACGCCAGACGCGCGTTTCGTCTAAAAAAAAACAATTCATCGGTGACGCTCAAATCAAAAAATTTGAAAATTTGAAAAGGCTTAACAAAGTACGAAGTCGAATAGCATTGAAGACCAAAACTTCCTATAAGTTTTTCCAAATACAGCTAAGTTAATCTATTCCTGGGGTAGAAAATCCTTAGTATTTCGAAACATTCAAATTTTTGTAAGATTCAACCGATGAAGTAACGATAGTTTTGCGGCCCCTCATGGGGGCGTCCAAGTAATTACATAATCACAAAATTTTTGCCAATATAATCACATAATCATTAATTATTTTTTTAAACAAGATAATCAAATAATCAAAAATACAGTCCTAGATTATGAAATAATCAAATAATCATGAAATATTTGGTCTTGTAATCAAATAATCACTATAAAAACGGTCAAGTTATCACATAATCAAAAACATCATGAGTAGGCTCAGTTTTGTTTTTGCTATACAAGATTGAACAATGACTTTTCCAAAGTCCTTTAGATTATGAAACAACAAATTGCCAATGACAAGAAAAATAGCGTATTCTATGATTAATATGCTTCGGTTTTCTCGTTTGAACTGTTTCCCATTTATTATTTGGGGCCTTTTATAGCTTACGGTACGGTATGGGTTTTGCTTATTGTTGAAGGCAGTACGGTGACTTAGTTACATTTCCTTACATAGATGTCCTTTGGTCTCTTTTTGATCGTTGTCTCAGTGGAAATCATACCACGTTTCCTTATTTTTATATTGTAATACATTACGTTTGTAATAGATTTTGATTTTCAAATATTTTGGCCTCGAGCATCACTGAAGAGACATTAATTATCGAAATGCGCATCCGGAGTAGTAAAATTGGTACCGTAATTGTTATCAAAGTATTGTAGTGGTACAAAACCTGCACAATTTGGATCCTATCTTTTTAATCAGCAAAATAATTTTCTTTCAATCACCAAATAATATTCCGTCAGTTTCTTTCAAATGTCGGAATGAAAAAGATCGCGTGCGCAGTCATATTGCGCATTGACAAACATACATCTGATAGCCTACATTTGAAAGAGGTGAAACGGCGAATAACACAAGTAATCTATGCTTACACTAATAACCGAATTTATGCTGAATCATAAATTCTATTTCTATGTAAATATTTAGCTAATTTCAACCAGAATAATATAATTAGAATATTCTAAAAAAACATAGATCAGTTACATTTTATGTATATTGGTTGTTTGTAGCTCGAAAATATTTCATATAGTAAAAAATGCAAGTTAGTATTCCAATTTTGTTTTTAATTGTACACGAAATGTCACATAAATCAATGAGAATTAAACTGCAACCAATAATATTTGACACACAAACATTGTTTACACTATATTTGATAATGTATCGAAATATATCTTTTATTTAGTTTAAATTTCGTTGCAGATCGCACGCTTTGTCGCGATATCTGCCGTCTTCCATTATTGTGGATGCCACCCGCAGATAGAGATACTGAAAAGATTTACGACGTTTTATCACAAACTATAGGTAAGTGCCATATCTATCTTGGAATATTTACTTTAGAATTAATATTTTTTTTAGTAAATAAAAATAAATTTTTCACATTTTGTCATACCGGGGCTTTTTATACCGTATGACTTTTGCCCATTGTTGAAATTCGTACCATGGCCTTTAGCTGGTTACCAGTTCACGTCCTTTAGTTTCTTGTGGATAGTGGTCTCATAGACAACCATGCCACATCTCCATATGTTTTATTTATCAGCGCGGCATTTCAATACACGTTGATGATCTGAGACAGGTGAGTATTTTAAAACACTGCGCCTTCAGTGTGGAAATGTACAACATCCCCATTTGTGCACGTACAGGAATCCAACAATCAACACTATGAATGTTAATTTTATATATTTAACAATTCTCTTAAGATAAGAATTACTTTCTTAAAATATAAATCAAGCGAAGGATATATTGTAATAATATTAACGGTACCAATGTTACCACACTAGAAGCGCATTTCGACAATTGATGTCACTTCAGTCATGTAAACGTCAGTTAAGGACCAAAAAGAAAATATAACCAAACCAAATATGTGGAGGTCATATTACGACCTCAGCAATGGAAAGGTGAAGAGGCCATTATAACAAAATGTAATTTTATAATCAAACTTGACAAATCGACCGTTTAGAATTGTTTGTAGCGGTTATCGATACATTCCCTCTATCAATTTATATTCTATAAGTTAGTCCATTGATTTGTTAATCATTGAAGACCTTCCAACAACATAGAAGAAGGATATTATCAAGAAATTCGGTATTCTGTTTGTTATTTCCTACTATCTCATGATTTTTTTTGTCTAATATACACCAACCTTATCTTTATAGTTACTATAAATATCTGGCTAAGCAGCTGTTGAGTTTTGTGAGAACTATTTAATATTATTTCAACACAATTATGTAACCCTCATCCTTATCTCTTGTTGTAGATATTCTTCATTATATTTTCACTTACTTCTTTTTTGCTTAGCTGATGTATTTACTTATCTACAAAAGATGAAGTTTTAAAAAGATTGTTCACTCAAGTATGTATATTTGCCATGCAGTTATTTCAGCCATTATATTTTAGATATCACAGAAGAAAAGGTGCAAAAATACCTGAACAGAATAAAGTGTATTTATACAACCATGGACGCTCATGTTCCACATGGACATCAGTTTCGTATGTTCTATATAATTATATCTATTAATACTAATACATACAACACGCATTGTTTCTTTAATCTTTATAAAAAAAACATAATCGGGTGACAACTTAAGAATGTGTTTCATTTTGTTTACATAAAATATTCCAAAATTCATACACGAGACTGTGTAAACACTAGTTTATGTTACTAGTATTCAACAAAAAAAGTTTAGATAAAGAGGGGGTACTATTTTGAAGTATATACTATAAGGTACCAGTCACTTGTTTACAGGACATACAGTCATATTAAAAGTCATGTTCTTCATCTCAAAGTTGCTGTCAGATTTTTTTCAACATGGAGCAAATTTTATTGCACAATCCTCATTTCAAATTCAGGAAAACCCCTGTCATCATTTTTAGCGCGGAATTATATCATGTCACATCTGATCATCCAAGAAAACCTTGTGTGTAAAATCAACGAATTAATAATGTTACAATTACAAATTTATAGTTCAAAATACATTTGTGTCTACAGTTCAATTACGTCAGTGTTAGGATCCGATACAACATGCACAAAACCGTTTTAGGACTATTTTGTGACGTCTGTCATCTATGTAATACATGATTTTCTACTTCAGAAAAGCAAAACGAAAGACTGACATATCTTATTCCCAGTTAATCACACCAACAATATTAATGTACTTTGTTAACTTCTATGTCATTTGGTCTCTGGTAGAGTTGTCTCATTGGCAATCATACCACATCTTCTTATTGTTATATGTTATTTAAAACCACCGTCGGAATTTATATACAGGTTACACAACATGTGCACGAACTGCTAACAATTAAGGATGTATTTAGGTGAAATTAAAAAAATCTAGAATTTAAAATTGATACTATAAGTCAGAAGAACATTAGTTAAGGAACAAAATAAGCTAAAAATATGATAGGTTATGGAACTCCTTTTTTAGATATTTGATTTTTTTTAAATGGCGGGAAAAAGGCTGACTCGGACTTTTGCCTTATATTTAGCATTGACATTATTTGGGTCTCATATCGTAAGAAAAAAATCTAGAATCTGCTTAAATTTTGGTAATTACCTTTTTATGAGCTATTGATGTCTTCTATGAAAAGAAAAGTGGGTGATATGTGGAAAAATATTTTACCCTGCATTGTATGAAAAAACCCAAGGAGTCCGAACATCTGACAAAAGTTCCTAAACCTGACCTAAGTACATCCTTAAGGTTCAAACACTAAAGTTCACCCGAAGATGGGTTAAATTTTATGTTTTTCTGTATTATAGTTTGTCTTTCTATCTTTTTATATATATGCTAAGATTTTGTTTAGTCTGATTATTTAAGACTTTAGTGTCCACTGTGTATCCTTTCATTTTTGAAAGTACGCAGATTTTGTTAAAGTATAAACCAGTCTGCTATTGTAAAACATACACATATATATACAAAGATGAAGCAAATACGTTGGTGGTTCTTGACTTCTGAACACAAATCCGAAGTCGATCATCCCAATAAAAATCGAAACAACAACAATGATTGATCATTTTCAATCCTCATTTCAGCTCCAATCACCATTATATTGGACTGTAAAATGACTCTAGACGATGTTCCTATTGGCTTGGCCTTACAGAACGAGACTCCGTTCAGATTTGCTTGTCAGAGGCTGTGGACAGAACGTATAAGTGATGTTAATCTACCATTGAACGTACTACATAAAGTACTTGAACCAAGGGTAATTAAACCAACAATTGATAAAATATAACCTCATAGACTGTGAAATCTAATGTTTTATGTAAGCAAACTCTGTTCATTAAGTCAGCTACACGTATTGATCCTGTCATGTGGATTACACCAGTCAAAGGGAGTTAATTAAGATTACTTTCTTTTGTTTCATTTTTTTCTGAATATATGATATCATATTGAATAACTGTAAATTCATAAATAATTGCGAGGTTTAAATAAATGGTAATAATGCAACCGAATGAGTATCGCAATAATAAGAACTTGCATTCTGATATCTGATACATATATCTGTATACAACTTTTTCTAAAATCGAAATAATTAATCTCAAATTTTGGTTGATCATGTCAAAATTCAGTAATAAATGTTCCATATAATTTCCGAATTTACAGTCAGATATCCAACTCAATTAAGATAATCCAATGTCGAATGAAAGCACAATGCGCTATGTATTTCTCAATTACAGTTCATTAGACCAACAACATTTTCGCCCTTACCTCTCCTTTAAAAATGGGCTTCGGTGGCCCGGTTGTCGAAGTTGTTAGTTAGCAGCGACCACTATCATAGCAACTCTAAGGTTCTGAGTTCGAATCCCACTCATGCCGCGAGTGGTGTTAGACTCCTTTCTTAATTGACCCGCCAGTGCCCCTACGGAAGGTCGGTGGTTCTCTGGCCGCCATGAAATAGTCAAGGGCACTGGAAGTGATGTTAAACACCATTAAACAAACAAACATATACTTTTTATAATGCTTATTTATTTGCTTTTTTTTATGATTCAAGTTTGATACTTACTAATTACTTATATTTGGTTCCGAGAGTCATCATAAAAAAGTGATATTGCGCCTAATTTAACTTTGGTATCTTGTAACTTTTGGGATTATGAAGTTCTTTCCCTAAACATTTTTTGTTTAATTTCGTATTAACATGTCTATAATCATTGCTATTTCAGGACTTAACTGAACTAGAAATAGAAGACCGGAATCTCTGTACAGATGGCGACAATATGGAGATTTTACTTGAAGCATTATCGTTATTGCCGAATATAAAATCTCTCAGTCTCCCAAATACCATACACTGTAACGAAAACGAGGAAGCAGTGAAAGAACTGAACAAAGTACTGAGAACGATGACCAATTTAAAGAAATTAAACTTTCCTCTTTGTAACTTAAAAGATAATTTAAGTGACCTTTTGAGTGGGCTGCAGCAGACACTGACGTTTTTGTCGCTTAGAGACTGTCGTCTGTCTGAAGCAGACGTGTTGTTTTTGCTAGAATGGCCGTTAACACGAGGTTTGTTTGACCTGAATGTAAGCAGAAACAATCTTCGGAACTCATACCAAAATATTTTGTCTCTGTTAGAAAAACTGGAAGAAATCCGATGTTTTTCATTATCTTATTGTTGTTTTAGTCCTGCAGAACTACGAAATATTGTTAATGTTGCTTCTAAATGCACGAACATAAAAACTCTTGGAATCCAAAGTTTCACGCCATTATCAGAAACCGATAGTCAAATGATTCTGAAAGGATGTTGTTTGTTGACAAACTTGCAAAAATGCCTAATGTTACCAGAATGTCATGCGTTTTTAGGGAGCAATGAATTAGATAGATTTGACAACAGAGAAAAATATTTGGAACTTTGTGACAACATACTATCAGATTTAAAACGTGATGATATAGAACTTGAATGATTGTATAACAAACAACTGGGCTTATTTATTTTAGATTTATTTATTCTCTATCTAACCACAGCTACCTCCTTTTCTATTTTTACAATTCATCACTAATTTGGATTCGGTAAAGCTAAAAAGGATGTTCCACCAAAAATTAAAAAAGAGTACGTTGAAATGGAATAAAGTTAGAGCACATAAGTATCATGGGATTGATGAAACATCCCAAAATAATGAAACATTGTCCGTACATGCAACAAATATTCAGTGCGTGTTCCGAATGGTAAGAACAATCGCAATCGCATATGGAATCGGACGGTGAATGTTAATCGACATCTAGGCTGGTTCTTTCTCTTGCAATATACTGCGTCACCCTTTTTGAGCCATGCAAGCAGATAAAGGACGGGGAACCATTCTAATCACTATCAAAATATAAATTCGAGAGTCAAATTGCGCAAGACATAAGTAATGTGTTGAATATAACAAATATTGCAAGTGAATCAAACAATTATCTGAACACAATAGTCAATAATAGTATAAGTAACGTCAAAAACATTGTGCTTACTCAGCACATATAGAAAAATGCTCCAGGATAGAAGAGGTGAGATGGACGAATTTACTGTAAAATCCATTCATGACTGAAATCATTAGTATTATTCAGAAAAAAAAATTTCTTTGCAAATTATATATTTAAAGCAGCTCTAAGCTTACACTTCATATATAAATGATTTAAATGCATATCCCTTACATGCAGTGTACATACACATTGACCAATTCAAAAGAATCAGAATAAAAAAAGATGTCATGCAACCTCTCATCATTAATGTTACCTGTTTTGTTTTGTACAATTAAAGAATAATGCAAAGTGTTTATTTTTAAAGAGAAATGTTAAATTTTTCTCTGTTTTAATTTATACAACGAATATAGTGCAAAATATTTATCTGTAAAGTGAAATCTTAAATTTATTCCTGTCTCTACTTCTGGGGCGTATTTTTTTGTTCTTCGGTAGTGAGCCAGTAGAGGTCCATTTCTGATTTTTTGAATATGAAAGATCTTCTGGCTCTCTTCCACCTCTTCTTTTTTGATAGGCAATTTAGACGGCAGAGGCACATAACAAACATGGCGTCGTATAGTCTAAATGACATTAATAAATTTATGAATGCAGATATATTAGAATGTGAGCTGTGTTATAAACGTTTTTATGGTATGACAGTCTTAGTAGGACATCCCTGTAGGACGATAAGCTGGATAAATATAAGAACTACACGGACAATAACAGTTAAGGGACGACTATTTGATATTCTATGGAAGGGATTTTGATTGATTGGTGTTTAACGCTACTTTCAACACTAAGTTGGGCTATTCCGTGGTGGTCAGTTTAAATTTATAGATGAAGGATGAGGAAGGGAAGAGGGCATTATTAACTTTTTTAATATGTCGCTAATTATGCCTATTTTTCAGCTCTTACCAGTCAACCATATTCATATATGAAATCCTCCTGTCCCCCACCCCTATAAAAGGAATAAATATCAAATGAATTTTCTTCTTATTTAACACAAGTTTAAATCGATTGATTGTTTGTTGCTAATTTTTAACGCCCAGTGACAAATATGTCGTGCATGTTCAGGACTCGGTTCAGGGAAACACAAGTTTAAAAGTCAGGTATATAATATAAAAACAAAGAGATGTATGATTGCTTATGAGGCAACTATCCACCGGAGTTCAAATATGAAGTGGATGTAAGCAATAATAGGCAACCGTAATTAAGGCCTTCAACAATGACAAAACCCGATACTGTATTAAAAGTCGTCTATAAAAGGCCCGACGTGAAAAGTGTGAGAAACAATTCAAACGAAAAAACTAACGGGGGCGGGCCTAATTATACATAACAAAATAATTTACAAAATATCAAATATGAGTCGAGACATGAACCAACGACAACCACTAAAATAAAGGCTCCTGACTTGGTACAGGCACACAAAGAATATGGCAGGGTTGATATAAAAACGAAGATTGCCAATGATACAACCCAACACAAGAGACCAAATGACACAGCAATTAACAGCTATAGGTCACCGTACGGCCTTCAGTAATAAGCAATGCCCATACCGCATAGTCAGCTATAAAAGGCCCCGAAATCACAAATGTAAAACAATTGAAACGAGAAAACTAACGGTCTAATTAATGTACAAAAAATGAACGAAAAACAAATATGTAACACAGCAACAAACGACAATCACTAAATTACAGGCTCCTGACTTGGGACATACATACAGAATGTGGCGGGGTTAAACATGTTAATGGGATCCGGCCCAGCCCCCCCCCCCCTAACCTGGGACAGTGGTGTAACAGTACAAGAACATGTTTGTAAGCGCTCAACCCTTCCCGAAGCTGGGACAGTGGTGTAACAGTACAATATAAGAACAACCTGCACAAATCAATTGCAATTAGATTAACTCAAAAGATCGGTACGAGACACACAAAAAAACTTACATTAAGACAATAGACAATTAGACACAAAGCACCGAAATAAGAGTATTTGCAATTACTGGAAGTTTGTTCAAAGCAAATAACAACTAGTACTGAAATAAATCTTGTTCTCCCAGACTGAAGTATCAATCAGTACACAACCAGAGGATTTATTTAAAAAAAAAAGAAAGAAAAAAACAGTCTGAGAAATGTCTGGTATACATTGTATACTTGCATATTGATACATATACAATGAAAATTTTTGAAAAGTGGTGGTCCGAAGGTTTTGACCATCGAAATTTTGCAATACTGAGAAATAATACTTAGGACCAGAAGAATCTCTTCAAGGACCACCAGAGAAAAATGATTTTGAGAACTTTCCGATATCTTTGCTTTATACAAAAATAATCCAGTTTGGTTACTTTAAAAAAAGTGGATAGACAAGATGTCCTTTTTGATCATATTCAAGACAAACATTGACGAAATTTTGTGCAGTTTAAGATTATTCTTAAAAATCAAATAGTGGGGGTTTAAGCCAGATTTGTTTAGCAAAATTGAGTTAGAGGAAAGAACAAAGAAAAATGTCACGAACAGAGCACACTTTTACAGTCATGTCTACCGGACGTATCTTAATTTTCTATAAAATAATCGTAAACTTTATATATATGTCATCCAACATAACAAAAATCTGCTATATTCGACGGCAAATTGAATTTTTGTTTTATTGATCTTCCGTAGAATATCTCCAGAAGAGGTCCAGATTCATTTTTTTGGACTCTTCACCAGAAGACATTTTGGAGACGTGCAGAAGAGACCAATAAAACACGCCTCCGGTGTTGCAAACGATTGGATAAAGGGAAGAAACTAACGAGACAACATTAAGGGAAAACCTCGACATTATTAACGCGTTGCTTAGTACATGTACTGAAAGTTAATGAACGAGAAAAAAGGTATGTGTTAAGACGAATCTGAAATGTGTCCGTTCTGGTTTTACGGATGTATAACTACGCAGACAATGTGGTCCGGTCGGAATGAGGATGTTATACGAGCTGCCCCCGAATTAGGGTAGTACAACACTATATGCACTCTAAAACATCCTCTTTGGAGGGTCCGCACATCGTTTAAAGACAAATATCTACCACTCAGCATGCATGAACTGTTGTAATGGCAAATAATACAAATAGTGGCATAATCAATATTGTTGTATACTTTAAACATAAATTCTTTTGCATTTTTGCTACATTTAGGAATTATTTCATAATTTGTATTCTAAAAGTAAATTGTGTTACTTAAAGAATAAAAATGTAAGAATAAATGTTAAATATATGGCCAAGCTACTGAAATCACGTTTCCTATTTAAAACATGAAGTTCGATGAATTTCCACGTGCCTCACCTGGTTTACTATTATATATTGAATTAATATGAAACTTTTCTTTTCAAGGACAATATTGTTGATGGTGCACAAACACGGAAATCATATATTTGTTTTTTTCTAGGGTTTGGAAAATCCACAACCGCGGTCACTCAAGGTTCGTTAGCGATATAAAACGTCAGTTGTTTTTTTTACGTGTTATTGGTAAAAGGAAATTAATATTTTTTTCTTCGACTAATAAGTGTCAGTATTCGTTACCATCAATACAGACTAAAAAAAATCTGGAAAACCTGATTTGCAGTGTTAATCAATATATAGATCATCAATGTCTCGGTTTTCTTCTTTTGTGTAGATAATCTGTCTCATCTATATTGACAAATGAACACTCGGTACTATTTTGAAACATTGTGTTTTACGCTTTGTTTGCATATGTAAGAGATACAGAAGATAATGAAAATTTACATGGTCATAGGAGCGACAAGGATTACCGAGAAAAAATTCAAGATATTATGCGTCGTGTTTTATGATAGAAAATATGCAATAATAGAACAACTTTACTGTTTACATAATTATAAAATTTATATTTTTGCTCCTAAAATAAAATTTAAAAAACAACAGCCTTTGTATGTTTTTTACGTTTATTTCCAAGAGCATAATAACAGCCTCTGGGTCATTTTTTAAGTTTCCAAGCATCACAAATCGGGGTAAAATGGATTTATAAGTGACGTCTTGACCATTTATACATAACATTAATTTAGACGTTGATTTTCCTAATTATTAGATTATTTCAACATTAAGCTTTTAAAGAAATACCATAATCAAATTTGCATTCTAAACAATAACACCAAATGAACATGAAATGATACGAAATCATAACAATGGATAAATCATACACTGACAATAATATGATTTGGAAAATCCACTAATGATTTAGAAACAATATTAATTTTCATTTACATTGGAGCCGTGACAACAAACAAATTACTATGGTAATATATATACTAACCTTGTTTTATAGACTGTTGACCTCCGATCAGGATAGTATTTATCACTGACCAAAGGTGCTAATTACCTTGTCAGGACATTTTGATATTTGACTAATGTCACTTTAAATGTTTCATTATCGTGCATGACTTCATAAGAATGAAGATTTGACGAGTTTTTCAGGATAGATGTTGTTCAAAAGCTTTCCCTAATAAGGCTTAATGTCTGTGCATATATATGGAAACAAAATCTTCCATAGATTTGAAATTCAATAGTTAAAATGGTGAAATATAATCTCTTTTTGGTGTAACCATGGCAACCATCTACATTTATTTGTTACAAAATATTGCAAAAAAGGGGGCGAAAATGTCACAAAAGTCCCCAAAATTTGGTCCAAAGAAGAATTTCAATTCATTAGAGTGATAACTTTTCTGAAACCATAGACATTTATCTATCAAAAGGTAATAAAAATCATATGCATTTCACCTCATTTTTCCATAAAATTGAATTGAAAAGTTCGAGGGTCAAATGTTTGTTGAAAATCACTACAATAATTTCTGGACCTTTGGGCGGTACGGATGTGAAAATACGGACTGTCAAACAGAACAGTCTTGATGTTCATATGTTCATATAAACCTACTTTTAAGGGTGTATTATTCTTCAGCTATCTAAAAATCAATTTTATTGTACAAAAACTTTCATATTTAGAAACTAAACTTCTAACTGTGTATTGCTAGCTATACCATTTAAAGGAGATTAAAAAAAGAAGTATTTAAAATTACTGTATGAAACTGAACCGAGTTCTTTTACTAAGTTTCCAATATCGTTAAAGCACTATTTAGTACTCACGATTTATATGTTTTAATAGCATAAATCGTCAAACTTTATTTTACTTGAATTACGCCCCTTCTAAAATCCTGGATCCGCAGAAGGCGGTATAAAAAGAAATAATAAAAAGAGTTCTGGACTAAATGCCTGTAGATAAAAAAATTAAAGTAATTAACTTAATGGCCCGAAGACGGTAAAAAATATGCAGGTAATGTACAGGTGTCAGTTAAAATAAAACAAAAGAAAAGATCAAATAATCGAGGGTATCAAAGGAATTAAATATCTACAATGACAAATGATATGCTCAGAATCTTGCTATAACAATCTTCATTCATCAACGTTTGTTAAACATTTAGAGAACATTATGAATCCCTTAGCGTAATTTTGTGTTGTCTTTGATCATTTGACCAAACAACACAAGCCTCTCGATATAATGACTCCGGTATAGATTTAAAATATTTATCATTAGACTGTTTCAATTGTAAGAATTCATCTTTCGGCAAAGTTTTTGAAGTTCTGTTATTTACAGGACACATTTAGTATCGAAGTATTTCAATGGGAGGTCTGTGTGTTCGTTTCCCCCGCCTGTACGTGTTTTAGGCACTGTCATATCAGTTTAGATGACAGTCTTCTATCAAAATTTTATTAATTTATGATTAATTATTATAATAGTTATCACCTATAACTGACGGATTTACCGTTATGTCTTAATAATGGAAAGTCTGCTCTGTTCGTGGAATTTCCAGGTCTTTTGATATGGTAATTCTCCCAGCCTAATTACACACACGACTTATTATTATCTGACATCTTTGCTAGTATTAGAATACCGTCGGATGGTTTATTA